AAAACTGACCAGTCGTATTTCCCTGTATAATCTTTGTATTTTATGTGAAAAACAGAGGGTCATTTTAAAAATAGATTTCTAAACATCAGGCCAATTTTTGACATGCTAATAGGTAAATGGCTAGGCCATAGGGCAAATCTGTCGGTTTGACTCAAAGCCCTCGACGAGGGCTATAAAGTGACCGCGAGTGAAATTCTCTTAATATGAGCTCTAATACCAAAGAAACGTTTGCCCAACGACCCCCTTGATATTTTGTGAGGTGGTAGGAGAACGCCTAAGGGTTTCATAAAAAGCTCGCCGTATCCGGGAATAATTGGACGTCCTCTCATCCGGCCCGCGGAGATCTTTTTGTCCACGGAAAAAAACGTTTGTTGGTGATGGCTGAGGAACTTTGCCCAGAAAAATCAAAGACATGCCTGGAACAAACTGGCCCCGAACTGAAATTTGATAGTTAATGCGGCCCTCGGACTGAAAAGTTTGGAGACCCCTGTTCTAAATGACTGAAATTGCCACAGAGACACATCTTATATATGGAGAGCTCAAGTGTGTTGGGCCCAGGCTGTGTTGTAGTGTTATTTATTTTTGTTACACTTTGCTAATAAAGGGGTCAGCGGCCTGAAGGTATACTGGCCCACTTAGAAGATTGTACGCAAATGCATACGTTCACACACACGTACACGTACACGCACACGTAAACATACACGCAGTCGTACACACATACGCACACGCACACGTACACATATAACCAAGAATTAAATTACATTTAGTTCAAATATAATAAAATAAACCGTCTGTAGCCAAATCTCATCAATCGATTAAAATTGCATAATTGTCACCTGCACGTAAGTCCATAAAAGAATAGAAAACATTCATGTGGTAATATTTTGTATTAATGTATTAGTCGCGTCACTATGATGGATTACATTCCTTTTTTAGTGGCGTCGCTAGGTCAGGTTACAATAATGTTTTACTAGACTCTAGGTAGGGTTACATTACTGTTTTAGTGGCGTCGCTAGGTCAGGTTACAATAATGTTTTACTAGGTAGGGTTACATTACTGTTTTAGTGGCGTCGCTGGGTCGGGTTGCTTTCATGTTTTAGTGGCGTCACAAGGTCGGGTTACATTAATGTTTTAGTGGCGTAACTAAGTAGAGTTACATAAATATTTTAGTGGCGTCAGTAGGTCCGGTTACATAGTTTATTATTTGTCTAAATGATTAGGAACTTTGCCGGCCACACATTATTATTTTTTAGTTTACACATAGAGATTATTTACATTTTTACCAATTACTTTATTATTTTGGAATGTTTGCAAGGGGCGTAATCTTCTATTTAATAGTCAAAACAGGTTTGGTACAAGAATTGAAAAAAAAATCAAATGAAACAAACATACAGTAGTAGTGATAAAAAACAATTTATTTTATATAAATTGTTTCAATTATGATCAAACAATGAGAGTTGTTTTCATATATATTTAAAATATCTCTGTAAATGCAAAAAAATAAAAATAGTAGTTTTCTTTGGACACATTTAAAGGACAAGTGAGGATATCGTTTAATGATTTAGTTTGGCTCCTAAAAATCAACTTCTTTGTGTTTTCTACATTTTCTTTAAAAAAGAATAATAGATAATATTTGTTTTTTCATTATGATTTAGAAAGAAAATGTTTCTGACTTCTGAGGCCTTTAAGAACGTCTACCGCTCTCTATAACGATAACGAATTTAAATAGAAAATATACTTTTATTAGTATGAAAAAAAGTATGAAACAAACACTAAATGCAGACCACTTTTAAGATTAAATAAATACATTAGGTTGTAATGTAGGTGTCATTATTATTAAGTATCGATAACGTCATTATTTTTGTGGCATTATAATTATTTACTCTAGAATAAACAAAGTCAATTTTCTTTTCGTGTAGCTTTGAAAGAAACACTGTGGTGAAGGAGAAATAAAAGTCAACGTCAGTCGGACGTGACAACTCACATCACCAGATAGGCCGAACTCGTGAGACGATGGGTGACTGTGACAGACCTGTACTACAGACACGGACACGATCTTAGGAACCATGTAGCGACAGTTTAAACTTTAAAGACTGGTCTAAGGGAGGCAATAACTAAAATATATACGCTTTACACTAGGTTAGGTCACTGCCCTTGTTACCTCGGCAGCAACACATAACTCACTAGACGTAGTTGTAAGTTGCGACTTAAACCTTCAATTAAACATAACATTCATTATTGAATATATATATTGATCAATATAACTAGTTAAAACAACAAACAATATTTCAAAATTCATATACTTTTTACAAAACATATTCACTGGTCAGCTATGACTGAACTATTATCAACAACAGTAGGAAAAAAACATAACAAAGGCATAGATTTATCATGATTATCATTTAATTAAAAAAACATTTTCAACATTGTCTAGTCTATATACTTGTACAATTGGAAATGGTATTAAATCAAAGATAAATATGTGATGCTTGAACTATAATGAAGTATAAAGATACTATCAAATACCTAAGTATTGCATTACACAGTGTCTCATAGCTGAACTACTGTGTGTCTATAATCCTATTTGCATTATCATTACTTTGTGCTGAAAGTATAATTCTGATTGGTTGTTAATTTACATGCAAATTTCGGCAGAAGATCCAATAATAAAAAACAAAATTTTTACTACAGCAAATAAAAGAAATTTACATTAGATTAACTCCCCCCCCCCCCCCCATCCCATTAAAAAAAAGATCATTCATTATTCATAATAAACTGCGCTAATTTCATAAAAAACTGAAGGTGACCTCTGGGTGACCCTGTGGTTCATATGCTTGACAAACTTCTTCGTGTGCTTGTCCCTGTACACGTGGGCTAGTGAATTTCTTGATGGACACACGGACAAAAGCTGGACACAGACAATAAAAAATAATTATCACAATTCATAACAAGAAATAACTTAATCTATGGCAATACATAAAAACACCATTGAATGAGGTTACACTACAGCATATATAACGAGGAGCAGGATTGCGTCCCTTGTTAATTACTCCCCCCAGGTCAATTACCCCTCTCCTGGGAAAACTGGAGGATATAGTATTATACCAAGCCCTACTGAACCAAATAAGTCAATGCTGTATTAGGCTAGAGAAAACTAAATAGGTTTCTAATCATTGACAAGTCTAGATTTTGCTTTAAGGTACTCATAAGCCCACCCAGCTCTAATGTGTATCTAATTTAAATTGGTTAAATATGGCTAGAATCTAGACTTTGTTCTGACCATACATACATCCTTTGTATATTCATGAAAAACTGAAACACCTTACTCTTTCAGTGTCAGCACAACAAATCACCAGGTTTAGAAAATTAACTTTTTTTTACATTGTGTAGTCATGGGGCAGCATAGTCAAATGAGCGAAGGAATGCTAACCTGAAATTCTTGAGTTCAAACCCCATGCTTGAGATTTTATGACAACTCTGAATCCACCTAGCTCTGGTGGGTATCTGACTCATGTCAGAGTAAGTAAAGACAACTGGGCATTGAGCATTCCTATGCCAAGGTTACAGAAACAGGTGGAATCTACTCCATATTCCCTATGGCCCGCCAATGTTGAAATGAAGTAGCTTAACTTACTACCAGTCACAGCAAGACACCATAACAAAGACTGGTTAAACTCACCTCCTCATCCTCCCCTTTAGCTATGTACGATGTGTAGCCACCATTTTCAAACAGCCAGTCTAGATGTACAGAACAGAAAAAAATGTTTAATAATAAATAAAATATTAATAATCCATTATTTACCATGCATTTAAAAAGTTAAATGTAAACAAAGTGTTTTTTTTTATTTTACAAAAAAAATTTACTCTGTAAATCTAACAGCTGATTTGTCTCATAAAATGAAACAGAGCATGACAAAATCATCTCAATCCCCAAATAGTTGTTGCATTATTAATGAACCCATCACATGAGACACCATAGATAGCACACATATAACTAATGGTTCCATCACAGTGCCCACTAATAGTACTCTATCTCAAATAAAACAAGGCACTGTGACAAGAGACTCCCTTTTTATTACAGCCAACATAATATTGATGCCTCCAATACACTGCACAAAGATAGCACACGTTACTAATTTCAGTAATGCCTCCATCACACTATCCATAGACTGCCTCATTCACAGTGCCCATGGATAGCACATATAACGAATGCCTCAATCACAGTCCACACATATAGGGTACATTCTACTAATGCCTCCATCACACTACCCATAGACTGCACACATATAACTAATACACATATAACTAACGCCTCCATCACAGATGCCCACAGATATAATACCTATTACTACCCAAACAAAACAAGGCACTGTGAGACATAAGACCCACCTTTATCACAGCCCACATACAACATCAAGTCTAAGGCAAAGTCAAGGTTATCCACAACCGTGTCTTGTGCCACTGTGTAGCATCCATGTTAACCACCTGCGGACCTCACTCCGACATTTGGGGTTGCTGGCTGAAACTAAAAAAAAAATTATTTTATTAGCTAGAAAGAACAAGTCACTTAAATAATTAATGTAATAAACAGTGTAGAAAAATCAAGCATCTTTAACATGTTTAACATGATTTTAAAACCGCAAACTAAAACCAATCAAAATGGACTTTATAATGTTTATATTTTTCACATGTGGGCATAGTTTAGCATCATTGTGCTTTTTCTTATTTTTTTTTGTTTGAAATTTTAATTTTATTTTTAATATTTTTTTTTTACATTCACACATTTTATCATAAAAAACTAAGCTTAAAATTGAGCTGTTTATTAATTTGTCTATAAATAGGACTGGCAGTGAGGTGCAGCATTAAACTGAGGTTTTCGCAAAGAACATCTTTATAATTCTAGTTTTTAACGAGGTAAGGGGAAATAATCTAATCTGATAACAATACATCATTAGTTAGGATGTAGATCTAGATCTGTTAAAACTCCAGCTTAACTAAAAATGAACCTTTCAAATCTGATGGTCAAGTGGGCAGATGACGTTGAGTTAATCTATTTCTGTAAACAAATGTACTAGAATGGGTCAGTCTAATTACTAATAGAATGGCTAACCTATGTATGTAATCCTATTACAGACAATAACAAGAATCTTTATCTTGTTTGAGGGTTTTCTGAAAACTTAATTTTATTTTCCTATGTTAGCTTTATTCATTTTACCGACATTCTTGTTTTTCAGGCAAGAAGAAGAAAGTCGTGTCAGACATTTATCAGGGCATTCTGGGTCTAGGTCCCATTCATCACAGGAAGGTCTTTTATTTGTGGGACTCCAGCATGGGGCTAAGCAAGTGAGTAAAACTGCAAAAAACAATAACCTTTCTGAACTGATGATGGAATAATTTTATATTTATACATTTTCTATTTGGTTTTATAAAGCAGTAGTTGAAATTCATTAAGTTTACAAAATTTAAGTAAAGGCTTAATTATTCCAACTTTTCTATAAATATTGGAATAAAAGTTATTTTTAATATCAAGACATGTTGCTAAATTATTAAAATTATCTTTACATAAAATTTGTAGGAAGTTTCTTATAGTCGCTTCTTGGTGGCATCAAACAAAAGGAATGTTAAGAGGACATTAGCTGAGCACAAGGACCAAATATCTAGCAGTAAGTATTTTTACTTGGTAACTTTTCAAACTTTTTTTTTCCTCCTGCGATTTCCACTTTTTAAATTACTCGTCCCCCAATTTCATATAATTTTTAAATGTGAGAATTGTTAAACTTCTTGTTTTTGCTTTTTAAGTTGTTTATCTATAAGAAAATACAAATGCTAATTTTTGATAGGATCATCAGAAATGCTTAAAACAGCATCTACTTTGTTATGTATGTATTGGTATTTGGCTTGCTCTCATTGTGTGAGTTGGTGTAGATTGTATTATCATAGACTTGACTTACATTCTGATGAAGTAACACTTGCAACCATGTAATCCATTGATCTTATAGATTACATTATTATATATGGGCCTAAATATTACCAGTTTAAAATTAGATTAACGTAATATATTATATATATATTTTGCACCACATAATAAATATTTGGATATGGTTTCATTTCAATTTTAGATTTTTAAAATATTTATTTGCACACAATTTTTTTAAGTCAATTACTTTATTACCTAACACAGAGAACTATACTTTGTCACTGTAATTTAGTTATTTTAATTTAGCTTTTGTTTATTTGCATGTAGTTCAAAGCCTACAATCTCCTTTACAAGTTTTAAATATTTTGTATATTTCTACCTTTGCTCTAGCTCTTACATTACGAAGGCTTGTGCTTTACACATTGTTTATCAACTAACTGACACACCCAGCTTTTTTTGCTAATATATATCTACAAAAATATAGGGCTTATAGTTGTTTTGAGGTCCCCTTTCTTTTAATACATATATTATCAAAATAAAATAAAATGTAATAATCCCGTTAAATTATTGGGGTTGGATGATGAAGAGGGTTGTCCAATGAGGAAGTTGATTTGTAAGGAAGATAATGGATATGGGGGACACAGGTTAACTCATACTTGTACAGATTTGTAAGGGAGATTATGGATATGGGGGACACAGGTTAACTCAGACTTGTACAGATTTGTAAGGGAGATAATGGATATGGGGGACACAGGTTAACTCAGACTTGTACAGATTTGTAAGGGAGATTATGGATATGGGGGACACAGGTTAACTCAGACTTGTACAGATTTGTAAGGGAGATTATGGATATGGGGGACACAGGTGAACTCAGACTTGTACAGATTTGTAAGGGAGATAATGGATATGGGGGACACAGGTTAACTTAGACTTGTACAGATTTGTAAGGGAGATTATGGATATGGGGGACACAGGTTAACTCAGACTTGTACAGATTTGTAAGGGAGATTATGGATATGGGGGACACAGGTTAACTCATACTTGTACAGATTTGTAAGGGAGATTATGGATATGGGGGACACAGGTTAACTCAGACTTGTACAGATTTGTAAGGGAGATAATGGATATGGGGGACACAGGTTAACTCAGACTTGTACAGATTTGTAAGGGAGATTATGGATATGGGGGACACAGGTTAACTCAGACTTGTACAGATTTGTAAGGGAGATAATGGATATGGGGGACACAGGTTAACTTAGACTTGTACAGATTTGTAAGGGAGATTATGGATATGGGGGACACAGGTTAACTCAGACTTGTACAGATTTGTAAGGGAGATTATGGATATGGGGGACACAGGTTAACTCATACTTGTACAGATTTGTAAGGGAGATTATGGATATGGGGGACACAGGTTAACTCAGACTTGTACAGATTTGTAAGGGAGATAATGGATATGGGGGACACAGGTTAACTCAGACTTGTACAGATTTGTAAGGGAGATTATGGATATGGGGGACACAGGTTAACTCAGACTTGTACAGATTTGTAAGGGAGATTATGGATATGGGGGACACAGGTTAACTCAGACTTGTACAGATTTGTAAGGGAGATAATGGATATGGGGGACACAGGTTAACTCAGACTTGTACAGATTTGTAAGGGAGATTATGGATATGGGGGACACAGGTTAACTCAGACTTGTACAGATTTGTAAGGGAGATTATGGATATGGGGGACACAGGTTAACTCAGACTTTTACAGATTTGTAAGGGAGATTATGGATATGGGGGACACAGGTTAACTCGGACTTGTACAGTGGCAGATCCAGAGGGTCCATGTGTGCTGCATGACACCCCTCCCCAACACCTGTGGCACCACCATAGTAACCAGTGGCAGTGGCACTGTCACCTGGAGACAGGTATTGTAACGCTTCTATACTTTTTTCTTTGTGGCCTTGCGAGCTGTTCTCATGGAGGGGAGAATGATGCATTCTGTTTGGAATGTTCAGTCCATAAGTAACTAATTGCTTCCTAAACAGTTAAAATATTTTGTCTCTGAGATAGGTTGTCTTGAGATATATTGTCCTTGATTGGTTATATATCTGTGAGATATTTAATCAGGGAGGTATTTTATTTGATGGTTAAATATTTTGTCCTGAGATTTAATTTCCTTGAGAGACTTTATCAATGTCTGAAATATTTAGTTAGTGAGATATTCCATGCTAAGTTTTTTGTCAGAGAGGTATTTTGTCTGAGATATTTTTCATCGAGGTATTTTATTTTATCAGTAAGATATTTTGTCCCTGAAATATTTTGTCTCGAGATATTTTGCAATGTAATCATCTGTTTTAATAATAGCCCTTTTAAATAAACTATCAAGTTTTCAACGCTATTTGAAATCACTACTGTGATATAAATCATCTGCTTCCTACCTTATGAATCCTTTAACAGCATTTAACTATTGACAATCAGACAACTCTCACTCCCCAATATTTTATCAGCAGATAAGGGGAGGAAAAAAGGGAATATTTTTAGGTACATTTATTAAAAATAGGTTAAAATAATTATTTTACCATCTGTTTTAAGTAAGATCTATGTAAAGGGAAACACTGACAACTCTTGACCACACCCATATATTTTTTTATGCTTTCTCATATCTAGCAGTTGATTTAGCAAAGCTTTATAACTTAGGTAGTGTTTGTTTTCATTTGATCCCTAGAATTTAACACTTATTTTGTTCAGCTTTCTTACTTCTTGTTTTGCCCAATACAGTGGCGTAGCGAGGTCGGGTGTCACCCGGTGCGGCACTTAATGGTGTCACCCCCCTAGAGGCATAGAGACCCTTCCCAGGGACAAACTTTCAAGTTTTCGATTTGCACCCCCCCCCCCTCAAACTTTCGATTTGCACCCCCACCTCAAGTTTTCGATTTGCACCCCCCCGCCCTCGAGTTTTTCTCTAAATATTTTGCTATTTTTTGCCTTGGTGCCACCCCCATAAATGGTGTCACCCGGTGCGTTCCGCACCCCCCGCCCCCCCCCCCCTCGCTACGCCCCTGGCCCAATATTAACTCTTTAAACATTATTTGAAAACCTTTCCACATTTACTTTATTATAATTTGACCATTCCGTGTTATCTTATAGAAAATCCAAATGTATTACAATGTAATGAATCCTCAGTATGTTTACACCATTGGTACTTTTTCATATGGCAGATGAAGTAGAGTATCTGCTTATTATCCCCAGTATATTAGATGACTATGGTCAGCATTATGCCCAGCTGTATTGACTTGTTCTGGCTTGAGTCAGGTACCTATGTGGTTACCACTCAACCATGCCATTCCACTTTATTTTGTACAGTATAAGATAGCTAAAAGTTGTTAGTATCTGGTATTAAAAAAAATCTTTGTATTCCTCATAACTTTTTAATGTGACCAACATGAACTCATTTTGAAATTTTGTTAGTTTTATTAGAAACAAAATTTCTGTTTAATTATAAAAAAATATCTTAAAGCAGGGGCGGAACTACAGTGCCGCCAGACCCCGCAAAGCGATGAAAAACGTGGGGCGCCGAAGTAAAAGTTATATTACTATTGATTAGATAATACTATTGACTTTTATTAGGGAGCTTGTAGAGAGTCAACAGTATTAGAAACCGTAAGAAAATCACGGCGCCCCACGTTTTTGATCGCTTATAGTAGAGTGATCGCTTGCATTATTGTGATGTATAGCGTTTATTTTCTACTTTTTAGTTCAATCAGAAAACGTGGGTTTTTTAAAACTTTTTTAATGATTATTATTTTTTACTTTTTAGTCTTTGTTTGTTTGCATTAAAATCTTGCTATCGATTTTATCTTTTCACTTTTTTTGGGTAAATGAAGACAACTCGTAAAAAGACAACTCGTAAAAAGACAACTCGTAAAAAGACAACTCGTAAAAAGACAACTCGTAAAAAGACAACTCGTAATAAACACGTTGTGTTAACACATAGATTTGAACCCGTGTCGAGTGGGATAGCAATAATAACCACTCGACCATATCGTCTCCCCCAAACTGGCCTACCTCCTGTAACTTTAAACTCGGTTCAAACTAAATTATCTGCCCCTAAGCCTGTGGCGATTTGGGATCGTTCGCTTCACTGCGCGCGAGGTACGCGTCGCTCGTTTTTTTTCTAATGGCTCGCAGAGGATAATTATATATATAGATTATATAGCGGTCTAAAATGCTCAATAAAATGTTTCCATTGATCAATTTAGTAATAATAACAATTGAATATTCAATGGTCATCCAAAAGAAAGCTTCCCTGAAAATTTCAGCGCGCTAGCTAACTGGGAAGTGCCAGAAATTTCGATCGCAAGATTTGATTGGAAAGACAAACAAACACAGAAAGACACAGAGAAAGCAAGTTCAAGAAAACGAGGGAAAAATACATACTAAAGATTGACATAGCATAAAAAGGAAGTTTATTTTAAAAAAATAATAAAAATACAAAAAACATAAAAATAAACATAACACGAGAAACCATTACACATACAAAGCTTTCACGCTTTATATTCTTTTGACCGGCTAAAAAATGGGAGGGTAGGCAGTGTCACAGCAAACATATTGAATAAACTAGTTCTAAATGTAAAAAAAAAAAACATTCAAAACAGACTAATTCACTCACACACATGGCATGTTGTAATTTGTTTAAATTAACAAAAAACACATTTTTTCTTCAAAAACCCGATCAGGCCAGAAATCACTCCAATTTTTATATTGTGTTTTTTATATATATATATATATATATATATATATATATATATATATATATATATATATATATATATATATATATATATATATATATATATATATATATATATATATATATATATAGGGCGGGGCCCAGAATTTTTTTTTGCGGGGTGGCCCTTTTTTTCTAGTTCCGCCACTGTCTTAAAGCAACTACTTAAATAATGTTAATATTTAATTTTGATTTACATATCAACATTACTTTGAGATTATTGTGTGATGTGTATTTAAGATGAATCGGGTAAACATTTCTAGAGGTGAATTAGTGTTACCTGTCAGATGTGTGAGGTTTTTACCCCTGACCTGTTAACATTTGACCTGCCAACATTTCAGTACAAGAAGACTTTAGTGACGCTTATCACGCCAACAAACTGGATGACCCAGAGCTACAGTCTGGAAGTTATAGGACAGAGTTAACATTTAAATCCTACCTGGATGGTTCTAATTTGTCTCAACGTTCTGTTTCAGTTGTTTCACCTGTTTCAGTTGTTTCATCTGTTTCATCTGTTTGCTTAGTTGAGGTTCAAGTACTGCCTAGTTAATAGAAATAATTTTTAAAATTTCTACCTCTCTTTCAGACATCTATTATAGACTATGTCAAGCCATCTATGTTAAAAAAGAATTCAATGAGAAGTTCAAAGATAGGTTTCCTAATGTACAGCTAATGCTCTCTAAACTAAGAAGGTAAATTTTGAAAAATAATAAAAGTATTTAGTGCATCCGAGAGGATTTTGCAGGTAATAAATCATAATGACATCAGTTTTATATACTTGCTAAAAAAGGGCAATTTAAATTACCACAATGAAAACAGAATTGCCTTTTTGTTTAAGAAAAATCTATATCCCATTTTATAAAATAAACATACATTATAAACTTTTTTTTCTTTCAGCTTAAAAAGAGAACTATATCAAATTTCCCATGTCAAGGTAAGACCATTATTTTAATATTGAGAAATCAGCATTACTTACATACATAATACAACTAAGCTCTTTTGTTATTAATGACAGTTGTATCCTCTTCATTAATAATTCCTACTGTATCAAATTAAAGTAATTTTTCAAATCTGAGTCATAAAAATATTCAAAATGAATTATCTACATATCAGGAACATCATTTTAAAAATCTATCAGAATCAAGATCTATATTTGTATTAAATGGAATGCTTCTTAGAAAAATGTTAATTAGTGATGTGAGATTAAGTTTTTAGAAATTCAAGGAATTTAAATCTTACCAAAGGCTGAATTTATATGTGAAATAAGCAGTATTGAACATGAAAAAATACTTAGATTATTTTATAAACTGATAAAAATTTACCTAGAAGTTACAGTTATAGTAAAACCTAAAAATTTTTGAAACTACAATAATTGACATATGTTTCAGAACATGATTTAGGCAGGAAACAGATTGGTACCGCAAAATGCATATTCGATCTTCGCCGTTCATAAACTTTCTAACCAGACATCGTTCGGGGATTTTGTTTATACTGATAAATAGAGCAAGGTTTTTACAAGCTTCGTTAGCAACATTTTTGTGGAATACGTTTTTTATGACATTTTGTGCCGCGGCGAAGGATGCGAAGTATGCAAATCTAGACGGAATGGATCTACTTGGAAAAGTACGTGTACTGCACTAATAAGGTAAGAAATAATATTTTGTAAAAATAACTATTATTTTTATGGATTTTTCATTAGAAATGATTGCTGTAAATTATGAAAGTAAAAAAAAGTATATTTGAATGCGTTTTTTACTTTAATTTGAACAAAATGAATGACCATAATTACGACACATCGGCGTCGTTGACAGCGGGGATTTCAGTTAATTTTTTACGGCTATAAAATTGTAATTTTTTCCTCCGAGGCATGTATTTAAATAACAGTTTAGGTAAATCTATTTAATTCTGTAAAATATAAGTATTATTTTGCCGTAGATACTTTTAAAATTTTTTTTTATTATTTTCTGTCGGGGAAAATCGATATTCGCACCATGCACGCACGCGTAGTAAATCTAGACTTATTTTTAAAACACGAGAATCTTGAGTACACTGCGAATAACAAAGTTTTTAAATTTTATTTTACTTTTGACTTTAAGCCATTTGTTTTAAATCGAAATTAATTGATAATGTAATTATTTCAAAGTAAAAATTTTCCGTCTGAAATAGAATTCTAATCTTCGCTCACTGAACCAGCCTACGCACGACATTCGCGCGAGTCTGTTTCTTCGCAATAGTCTGTATAGGGTCGAGGGCAAATTCTAAAAAGAATCGAGTCCTTACTAATCTAATGTCTATTAAAATTAGGTACAATTGTTGGAACGCATGAGAAATAACAAATTAATATTTCTTTAAATCTATAGCCAAAAGAAAGTAGAACTTTATAACTCTGTAAATTATGAATCGAGTGACGGCTGTCGTGAAAACGGGAGCCATTTTACTCTCTTTTTTAGGGTGACCTACTTTTACTATATAACTTTAAAATTCATCGATTTGATAAGCAGCTGAGTAGCTGACTACGCATGCGATATGGCTGGCACGTTTTGGGATAGGGATCGAGTGCACCATAGAATTTTTTTTTCTTAGACTAAGCGTATTTTTTTTAATCAAAAGATACTTACATATCAGTTGTTGATTTTAATTTCATTATAGATCTAATCACTAACTTCGGTTTTTAAAAGTGATTTTGCTTCTAGATCTAGCGTAATTTCAAAATTACGTAAATCTAGTAGATCTATTTACTTACTATTTGACAACCGTGTCAGTAAAATGGGGTCACCGCTTCCAGATTCTTAGGTTTTAATTATGTTTGTCATTTTGATCTATTATAAGTAGCATTAAAACAACTGCATCTATCATCAACATTGTTTTTATAGGCTAGTTCTAATTATACATTCTGTTCATTACCAATTCTAATGAAATCTTATCAGGCCCTAACACCCTGTTCACCTACTACACTGACACTACACTTGAATGCCGCCACAGACAAGTGTCGTAACTTTAAATTAATGTTTAAAGTACTAAACAATTATAATTAGCCATGTAAATGCTGCAACTATATTAAAAATTGGCATATAGACATATTTTATTAATAATGTTTTTTATATAGGCCTAGACCTTCTATATTTAACTCTGTTATTTTTTTTCTTCCCCAGATTGTTTCTAAAAGCCAGAATTTTAAAGGGGAGGGCGGTCGTTTTTTTTTTCAAGAATAATTATAGAAATAAGCTATAAACTGGTATATTTTGTAAAGTTTGACATAATTACAAATAAATGTATGCCTAAGTGACATTTCTGTGTAATTATATTGTTAATTTTGTGAATTTCGTGGATTTGTAGACCTCACTACATTTAGATGTAAAAAAAATCTCAGTTGAGTGAGTGTGGTTAATCTACATTTTGAACGTGATGTAAATGTCTAGTGCTATTAATTTTTATATTTTTGAATTCCTCGATTGTTAAGCAACAAAATTGATATATAATACGTCAATATTTGTTACTTTGAAAATTGGCGAAAATCGACCCTAAAAGTAGATGCTTGAGGGTTGAATCTGTTTCCTGCCACATTCTATTTCAATTTTTTTTTCTATTACTTAGTCTTGATAAAAAATATCAATTTGTAAAAATTTGTTTTCAGTGTTTTGTAGACTTGTGGACAGTAGCACAGTCTTATGTATTTTTTTTAAAAAATAATTTTAAAGGTAAGTCATTTTTTTAAATGACAGAAAACTTGAATAATTTTTATTTAAGTTATCAAATTTTTCCACAATATTTTTGTTATTCAGAACTTCTCAAACACCTCGTCCAAAATAATTATGAAACAACAACAACAAAAAAAACAATGTATAACCAAACAAAGCTTCCTGTGCAACCCCCACCTCATAACTTCAAACTTTTTTCTCAGCAACTAAACAAAATCGTAAACTTTGTGCTGGTGCATGTTTACTGTTGTCAAGCAAATTGAATGATGTTAAAGGAACAACATTGACCAAACTTATTGAGGTAACTCTTGTTTTTTTTTTAATTTGTTTGTTTCGTTTTAATCTGGCTCAATAGAAATAGAAGACCAAATCGTATAATTTGACTGACAGAAAATACTTTTGCTTACATCCCATTCCCAACAGGTGGTTGATGATTGTTGTTGTAAAATACTTTTGCCTATCCATTTTCATATTTTCATTGTCTAATTTGTTTCATTTAATTTTCAGCAAGTGGTTGATGATTTTCATTGTAAAATAATTTTGCCTATCCATTTTCATATTTAGTTTGTCTAATTTGTTTCATTTAATTTCCAGCAAGTGGTTGATGATTTTCGTGTAAGCAGAAAAGAGCTGTTACAATATGAGATAGAGTGTCTTGTAGCCATAGAATTCTACCTGCATATTCCAGACACAGAGATCTACCCTCATTACCAGAGGCTGCTGTATAGGTCTTAACAGGATGATTGGTCACTGTATGGCTTCCCAGCCGCCCAGTCTTTGCATGTCTTTCAAGATGTTTTCAAGATGTATACAAGATTAAGGCTAAATAATGGTCAAACGCTTGAACTTGTACTAAAGCTATATTAAAAAAATTGTTTCTAGGCTTGTGGTTGTACAAAAGATAAGCCAAAAACTCTTTGACGATTGTATAAAATTTAAGTCAGAATGATGTTCAAAGGCTGTGAGTTGTTTGAGAGATAGCTAAAAAGAGGTGGATTGTTCATAAGTTTAGCCAAAATATATTCAAAAGCTTGTGGATTATTAAGATAACATTTTTACAGTGCTTGTTGTTTGTTAAAAAAATATCCCCAAAAAATGTTCATATTAATCATGTTTTTTTTTTAAATTTTGTAACATAAGTGTACATATACATATCAAAACGTCATACAGAAATACAAATGATCTCATTCAAGTTTTAAAATGAAAATGGACCGGTAAAATGAACTTTGTTGGTTGAATATATAGTAGCTCTACATTGACATCTATTTTTTCACAATCAAAACATGACAATGCTTTTTTTAGCATTTCAAATTTCCCAAGATAAATTCCATCTATTTAATTCAATAATTTTATCTACTCAGTACTCTTACCATCTTTTGAATCACGCTGGGAAATGAGAAAGACATTTGCAGTAAGATTTAAATACCAGATATTAAATTTTCAGAATTCAAATTTCTAAAGCTTCAAATAATACTTACATTATGTTTACATGAGATTTAAATAAAGATGTAGTTATTTCATGCTTTGAGCATGGCTAGTAAATGTTTGCAGACAGAAACATCTTTTTGTAGTTTATGAGAAGTTTAGTATTACAGATTCCTGCTGTATTTTCTCCATCAAAAAATCCCCAATGCTTGACAGGGATTTAACCATTGTTGGTAGTCACATGTGCAATCTTTATTTTTTTTTTATTAGTTAACAACCTATCTGGGTATTTCATTTTTTTATGTGTGTACTAACTGTTTCATTACTTATGCCAGTGTTTGTGCTGTTTGTTAGATTACTTTTTGTTTCATTTACCCATTTGTTTTTCATTTCTGTGTTGTTTTGTTTAATTACTTATGTGTTTAACAGTTATTTTTTGCATTACTAATAGGTGTTGTATGGTTATTTGTTTCATAACTTATATGTGATATACAGTTATTTCATTACTAGTGAGTGTTGTATGGTTATTTATTTCATTCCTTTTGTGAATTATATGGTCATATGTTTCATCACTATGATTATTATATGGTTTTTTGTTTCATTATTTGTGGGAGTGCTTGTGTGAAAATGTAAAAAGTATTTTATTTAAATGAATGTTTTATCAGAATGGATTTTAATATTAAAATATGTTCTTTTTAAAATTGTTTTCTTTTCATTAATTTTCTTTTTTTTTTAATTCTTAAATGTAATGTTGGAAGGGATTTTCTCCATCACAGTTAAGTATTACATGTCAACTTCTTATGTGCCATAGCCTTTGTCTAACCAAAAACAAACTACAAGGCAGCAGTTGTTTGACTTTGGACTTGTCTCTCCTAGATGGGTTACTGTCCCCAGCTATTGAACCTCATCTGCCTGGTGGTTCGAACTTGGGACTTTTTGGTTTTTCAACCATGTTTCATGAATTGTTTTAGTAATGTTTTGTACTAGTGGATTACTTTAATATGGTAAGGAACAGTAGCACAGAACAGTTATCATAAATTGGCATGGTTTGTTCATCTACGAAACAAAATACAAACAGGTTTTTAATATCAATAATTAGAAACTAAACAATGTCCTGTTAAAAGCCCCAATGTGATTTAATGTATTACTGACTGTTTAAGCACAATGGCTCCCAGAAAAATAATTAGGAGAGACTAGATCTATAGGTTAAATAACTTTTTTTTTACTGTTGCTGATAATTAGAATGGTAGAATGACATCACACTCGGAGGGGGGGGAGGGGAGTCCGTAATTTTGCGACGATGTGTAATGATGGGAGGAGAGTCAGTGTGACGTCACACTTTTGTATTATTAAAAAAAGTGATGTTAGAAAGCGAATTTTAACCATTATTTCGTGTTTTAGAAAACTGTTTAAATACATTGTAATATAAATTTATTAGAATGAGTGATGTCGTTGGATTGGGGGGGGGGGGGGGGGGGGGGGGGGGGGTTCTGGCTTTTTGTGAAGGGAGGAGGGGTGAAGTAAAAATCGTCAAAAAAAAACGTAACTTCATTTATGGATCATCCCCAACATAACACCGGAGCTACCATTTTAATGAACTGATGATAATTACATTTATGAGAACGTGTATTGGATAACGGATAACATGAAGCATGGAAATATCACACCATAACAATGAATATCAGAATCTTAGCTTTTTCCATCCAGTGTCTAGTTAACAAAATGTATGTCAAACAATTCGGTTTATGATGTAAGCAAGCAAAATGTAAATAGACTGGATCATTCGAAAAAAATTTCATAATACGTTTGAAGGTAACCCCTGGTCGGCAATATTTGAAACCCCCCCCCCCTCCCCCTCATCACACATCGTCACAAAATTACGGACTCCCCCTCCCCCCTACGAGTGTGACGTCATTTATGGATGACCCCTTGTGTTGTGGTCACACTACTACTTTCCTTATTCGTATATGAGTACGTAAAATCTACAAAGAACATTCTTTTCAGTGGTTTTAGAGATGATGTATCAGGTTTTTTTTTTGCAAATGCCGAAATACATTCACTGCATCTAACCATATTTTATAACAGAAATGTGGTATAGGTATAGGTATAGGTATAAGTACAGGTACAGGTACAGGCACAGACACAGGCACAGGCACAGGTACAGGTACAGGTACAGGTACAGGTACAGGGTACAGGTACAGGTACAGGTACAGTACAGGTACAGAGACAGGCACAGGTACAGGTACAGGTACAGGTACAGGTACAGGTACAGGTACAGGTACAGGTACAGGTACAGGTACAGGTACAGGTACAGGTACAGGTACAGGTACAGGTACAGGTACAGGTACAGGTACAGGTACAGGTACAGGTACAGGTACAGGTACAGGTACAGGTACAGTACAGGTACAGGTACAGGTACAGGTACAGGTACAGGTACAGGTACAGTGTGATGGTACGAATGGATCTTCTTTGTTTGTAGTTCTTCTTGTTGCACCACCAGTTGTGAGGGTGGGGATTTTATGAATGCGGAACGAATGTATCCAATAACACACAGTTTAAGTTCCAAAACAAAGTTCTTTATTAAAATTATAAAAAAGATCAAGTTTCTACCTAACTGATCTACACTGTACTATTTACTTCTACTACTGACTGTTCATACCACATGCTACCTACTACTACGCACTCCCATGACCAATCCTAACACTAACCAACTGTTCCGTAGCTCTGCAAATTACAACCGTCTCTAACCACTACCTAACACCTTCTCTCTTCGCTATCTACATATCAACCCGCTAATCTCTCTACTGCCCCACGCCTCAGTGGTCAGCTGACCGTCCCACGTGACCGGTCAGCCCTGTGCGCCCATTGGCCTCTCTAACCAACCAACTAGGCCTATAGTCTGTTTCTGCTAAACTATATCTGCTAAACATGTCTGACGTAATCTTGCGTCATCACATACAGGTACAGGTACAGGTACAGGTACAGGTACAGGTACAGGTACAGGTACAGGTACAGGTACAGGTACAGGTACAGGTACAGGTACAGGTACAGGTACAGGTACAGGTACAGGTACAGGTACACAACAACAAAAATGTGTGTATTGTGAACGGCCCGTCATTTATATACTGTAGTATTTCCTCGTACAACATATACTTAATTCTATACTTATGCCACTAACCAAATGCATACTTTTCTAACAATGGTGTTACCCTTGCCCCCCCCCCCCCCCCCCCCCCCCATATCCCCGATTAAAAAAACCAACAAAACACTAAGCACATCTCGCAGGGACTGGAGCAAGGTACGTAGCAAGGGATATAACCCAAACAAATCAACAGCTTATACGCTCTTCTCTCCCCTTATAATTCAATCGTCCCAACCCTTTTTTTATTTTACAATTCTATTCAAAGCATCTCACTCTCCCCCCCCCCCCCCCCCCCCCCACCCCAAGTGTGTAAGAATAACAATTGGTATGAATTTATATATATATATATATATATATATATATATATATATATATATATATATATATATATATATTTATATATATATATATATATATATATATATGTGTGTGTGTGTGTGTGTGTGTGTGTGTGTGTTTTCAAGTACACCACCACCAAGGCAACAGTGAGTACCTCTCACTGAATCACCGCGTAAGTCTAATCAACCTACCCTCGTCCTGTAAGTGATTCACTTTGTTGTTCAATCCACAACAACTCTAGCTATCTGTGAACACACCATGACGTCAACATTGACACACACACACACACACGTCAAAAACACACGAGGAAAAAATAGAATGTTTATGAAATCTACTCACTTGTAGATTTTACCAGTTAGTATTTTTTTAACTTATGAAGCTGTGTCTAACAAGAAGAAAATTAGAAATGTTTTAAAAATATGTTTTTTCTTTTCTAAAATATCGTTCTGAAATTTACTACGTTCTTTATGCTGTATACAACAAATTTGGAAAACTTCACATAAGTAGCTCAACAAAAAGTGGATACTATTTTTGTGTTCGGTCACTAATTATCTCTTCATTCATTCTACAATTTATCATATTTGTTAGTTATCTATGGTGAACGTGTTTCGCCACCAATCTTAAGGTTTCGCCACCAATCTTAAGATACACAATCATCTGTACAACCCATCACACAATCATTGCGACAGTCTTTCTATGGTGAGTACTTTTGATGTGTAATGGTTTTTGTGATGTGTAATGGTTTTTGTGATGTGTAATGGTTTTTGTGATGTGTAATGGTTTTTGTGATCTGTAATGGTTTTTGTGATATGTAATGGTTTTTTTATGTGTAATGGTTTTTGTGATGTGTAATGGTTTTTGTGATGTGTAATGGTTTTTGTGATGTGTAATGGTTATTTGCATGTGTAATGGTTTTTGTCATGTCATTGTTACAAACTGCCATTGTTACATCTAAATGACCGCTTTTAAAGTATTAATATATATTATTATATAGGCTGGAATGTATAACCAACCGTAAACTTTGTTTTTTTTTTAAATTATACTTGTTTTTATATTTAATCAATAATAATAGCAATATCTTATAAAGCGTCCCATTATTTATTTTATTTTTTTTAAAGTTGTATTTCAAATTTTTATTACCATTTTTTAATGCTCATACAATATTATTTTGCTCACAGTAACTAAAACTAGAATTTGTTGTGAAGAAACTAGTGATCTGCCATTTGAGGTTTCTTCTTCAGTAACTTGTACAGTATAAAGCCTCCAAATAATGACCCATATGTTGCTGCAACCCAATTGAATCTCCCTCTCAATGTGTAGCTATTGAAATGCTTCTGCCATCCTTTAAGATTAAGTTCTGATTCAGGCACAAAGTCCCCAGCCATTTTGAAAATAAAATTCTATTTGTTGATCCTTGTGATGATAAGTTAAGCGAATGCTGTT